TTTGGTTCGACTACTGCGATTTTCTAAACACCTTTTCATCTCTCTCTTTCTCTCTCTCTCTTTTCCTATGAAAACTGAATTTTTATATAGTAAAAATTTCAGTGAAAAAATTGAACGAAGTCAACCTACCTAAATTTCGAACACGTAGATCAATGTATTGTATAAAGATTTTTGGGAAGTGTAAACTTTTATATGAATAGAAGTTGAATGAGTTGTGAACAACATTTGTTCATAATACTAATATAATTTGACATAAAAGTTAAATGAACCAAATTTGAACCATATGGATTAATTTTTTGGATCCCATTCCATGAATGGTAAGCCGTTCCGAAAGAGATTTGATTTTTAATATGTTATGATGAAAATTGGTCCATAATGGCAAGTTAGTAAAAAAAACAAAAAATTAACGGTAGGGAATTTGGATCATATGGGTGTAATTTTTTAGATCTTAACCTATGTAGAGGCTATCATGAAAATCAAGCCGTTACATAGAAAGACAGAAAAGAAAGTCGATTTTCTAGTTTTTCATAAGAGAAACTGGAAAATAAGAACATTTGTAAAAATGGTATAAGGGTATCTATTCGTTGGCCGTGCTCGACTATAATGTTGTTGCTTTTATTTTGTAATTAATAAAATTTTCGAAAAACGCTGATACATCGGACAATTAGATATTCCGATGTGATCGAATCGATAAATAAATGGGTCATCAAATATATTTACGCGTAGTATATCGTGCATATTTCTGGGAAAACAGATATCATGTATGTATAGATGTTCAAAACTTGTTAACTCCTTGTCCAGCGCAACAAAAGATAAACAAAACAACTTTACATATAGTACGCCAAAATTGATTAAGTAAGTGCTTTTGATACCTTCGTAGATCAATCTCGCTAAAGTCATTAATTTTAATATATGTGATCGAGTAAATGGGAATAAGTTAGGACGATCACATCCCATACAAAATGCATCAAAAAAAAAAACCCTATTTTTTGGAAATGTCTACATTTGGCTCAATACTATATTGTTGTTGTATCTATGTATGTATATACAGCTAAATGTTTGCAATCTCTTATTATATTATATGATATTATAATCATATCAGTGATGCGACAAGCAGGGCCATTTTCAGTACATATGTTTTCACTTCATTTATTTTAAGAACGTAAGCAATTCGTAAATTATTCAACTATTTATGTTTTCGAGTAAATTTCTTAATTAAGATTTCTATCGCACTCATTTTTTAAAATGCGATCGGAAACAAACAAAAGAGATTAGAAGTATAGGCGTTCTATTTCTACTTTGACTTAAAAGTCCTAGCACAAAATATGACGGACGGATGGATGTACACGACAAATTATCTTCCTCTTCAAATTTTCTACTATTGAAAGGATTTATGCATTCATTTTTATTACTCAACTATTTACGGATGTTACCAACGCGATCATAAAATCAATATAACTTCCTTAAGTCGAAGGGTAAGATGAAAAAGCTTTAGAAATCTACTTATGCGTCAAGCGACGACATACATTTTCATCGAGAGAAATAGAAAACAAGAGAGATTTTTGCATGTTTACGTACCTTTAATGGTTTGTCTCCGTTTCTGTCTCTGTCATGGTTCCCCAAATTGATAACAATAACATTAAAAGCGTTATAACAATTCCGAAAAGCATTGCATAAAGTCTATGCACAAAATGTTTATTTTATTATTTTGGCGAAATGCCAAAGTGAGGCAAATGCACTCGTTCGCCAATATTGTTTACAAAAATCCCTACGTGCATGCATATAAACGCACAAAATTACACATAAACTCGGTTAAAAAAGTATCGGGAATTGTTCAAAGCAAAAAACAATGTATTTCGTTCATCATCACTCTCTACTTCAGCTAGAAAATCAAATCGTTTTAAGACAATCACTGACCCTTTACAGGCAAGCGCCTCGAAGATTCAAGAATATATGAAAAAAAAAAAAAAAAATTCATTAAAAGAAAGAAATTTTTTCCTTGAAATATCGATCTAACGAACCCTTATCGTTTTACGAGCGTGTCGATCGTGTCAAACTTTACGGTGCCTTTCTAAACAGACACACTTTACTTTTAGCTTCAAATTTATCATCAAGACGACCGTTAAGTAAATAGGAAATGAAAGGTGTGTGTGTGTGTGTGTGTGTGTGTGTGTGTGTGATGAAGATATTTCATATAAATTATCCATTCAGATAGAGAAATAGAAATTCTTTTTCTCGCAACGTAACGTTAAGTGTGAAAAGTGCGTTTCCGTACCTTACGGGTATTTTTTATTAAAAACATATGGTTTTGTGCTGGAAAACTTTTAGGCTTTTATTAATTGACAAAAGCATTGCATTTTATTTATTTATCTTTTCTTTTTCTTTTAGTCGAATTATGTAATTTTCGAGCATGTCATGATAATTTCATTGACTGGCTGTAAACAGGTTAATTAAATATATTTTTTTAAAGCTCATCAAGTTGCCCAACCCGCAATTTCCGAGCCTCTTAAACTAAAGACCCCTCACGGGTGGATGGCGTTATTTTACCTTTTAACACTTAACACTTACGTAATACTTAATGACCTAACTTCTCGGATGCTATTGTTCTATTACTTTTCTTTTCCTTTAAACTGTCAAAATTGCTCCATACCTTGCTTGTGATGATTTTTCAATATCATTGCTTTACCCATTGCATATTATTGTATGCACGATTTATACAATTCCGGGAACACGAAGTCGATCAAATCACTGATCATTCACTAATGGGAGCCTAAATATTTCTCTCTCTCTCTCTCTCTCTCTCTCTCTCTCTCTCTCTCTCTCTCTCTCTCT